GCGACCCCTACAGCCTATACGTGCAGCTGTCGCGTTGCCGGACGCTGGACGGCATCATGCTCGTATCGAGGGTGAGGGAGAGGGATCTCGTCGGCAACCGGGTGCCGGACGAGATGCGGTCGGCCCAGGCAAGACTGGAGGAGCTGAGCGACAAGACGCTGGGCGAGGCGCTCGAGTGGCTCGGCGACGAATGGTGAGTGGCGGCGGGAGCGCGGTTGGAGCCGGTGGGACAGCAAAAACAACCAATCACGAGAACAGCCAATCACAGGGCAGACATTTCCAGCGATTCGCAGCAGAGCAGCAGAGGAGCACAGAAGCTGCTTGGGGGGGGCGGGCCAGCCAACGGGAGCCCCGGCGAGCGACAGGGAACAGGGGCTGAGGTAGGCCAATGAGGAGCAACAGGAGAAGGCGAGGGGGGAGGGCGGCAAAGGGCGAACGGACCGGCGGCACGTAGATAGTCCTCTCGGAACTTCGTTCCTCAAGGCACGGTGTCCGTTCACTGGCGCTCATGTTAAGAAGGAAGAGCCACTTCCGCGTCCATGGTCCCTGCGAAGCATCGCGGCCGCTGAAAGCCGTTCTTTCGGCCGTGGTGCACGGGCTTCCACCAAGCGCTTCCATTTCAAACCAAAAAAAGCAACGGGGCCTGCATCCCGCGAATTATCACCATGCCACCGCACCGCCTCGTCGTCACGGAGTTCAGCCGCACCTTGGCTGTTAGGGACGCCCATAATAAAGCATGGGGCGGCTCCAGGGTGTTGCACGGGCTCCGTTTCTGGCCATTACCAACCAAATAGCCGACCTCCAGGAACGGGGCCCGTCCCGGGAAACGAAAAGGAGCCTTGGGGGGGCGGGCTATGATGTGATCGGCTCAAAGCTGGAACAAAGCGTGTTCCCGTACGCGATGCTGGGGGGCGGTTGGTACTGAGCATGTCTTTATCTGGCTGGCGGATTTATAAGTTTAAAGAGCTGCTAGTACTTCGGCGCAGGCGGCTAACGCCTGTGGAAATGACGGCTCGGGCGGCGCCCGGAGCGCCTTAAATATCCGTTTATCCTGCCCTGTAACGGTCAGCAGTCGAAACGAGAAGTAGATGTGCATGATAGATGAGCGCGAAACTACGCATTTTAATACAGTAACAAACAAGGTAACGTAAATGATAAGCGAGTGACCCAGAGAAGCGAGTGACCCACCCCATAATTCCATACTAAGAACCATTTTCAACCCCCTTGCCAAAACCACCAAAGTTAGATACAAATCTATGATATTTTAGCTATGTGTCAATATTAATACGGTATTGAGACTTTATTTTTCTGGGAGTTTATTTATTTTTATTTAGAGACT